TTTTAAATGTCTTATATGTAGTTTTTTGTAAGTTTTCTAATGATGTAACTTATTTTTCCTATAAATGAATCTGAAATTTCACTTTTTTAACAATATAGGAGTTCAATAGGGAAATCGAACAAAATACTTGTCATAATGGAGAAAGCTCCAAGAGGATACACGAGGACTTTTAGTGTGTTATCAAGGTTGCTGAACAGATTGCATACGCCAATTTTTGTTTTTTTACTAATTTTTTCTGACTTATTTTCTATTTTGATTGTATTATCTGGCAAAACCTGTAAATAGATGATGGATTTGAAAATATAATTATAAATAATAGCATGGCTTTTCGGGAGATTTGTGATTAAATGACCACGTAACCCTCGGCAGGTTTGCGGAATCTCTGAGGGCGAAGCCCAAGGGGATTCCACAAACCTGCCGAGGTCATTTAATCAGCTATCTCCCGAAAAGCCATGCTATTAGTTTGTGATAGCACAGTTGAGTGCCCATTCAAAAGCGGACAAACATGCCCTACTTGAAATCAGCGAATTTAAGCTAAAACATTTGCTTTGCTTGTGGGATGTAAAAGTTTGTTGCACATGCGCACTTTTTATGCTTTAATCGGTTACGCATGCGCAATCTATCATTTAACGTACCACAACAAAAACAACGAACGTAATTTAAATGATGCAAAAACTCAGGGATCGGATGATAGACTATTGACGGCTCTGAGCGACTGAGCTAACTGTTGCTGTTCCTTGCACGATTATGTGCGTAAGGCACTTGCCTAATGCGTGGCTGGCAGCGAGACAAAGGGTGTGACCCTTGCCAACGGGCGATTAGAACTAATTGCCCGCTACAGCTGGCAACTATGCTAGGGCAACTACGCTATAATAATAATAAGCCGGGCAACAATGACATTGTATGGTGCTCTTCGCTGATGACATTGTATGGTGCTCTTCGCCCAAGAAGCGACATTCATCGATTATATTTACCGAGAGAAAAGGGCGGAAGAGGTTTGATCAGTTGTGAAGGATGCATTCGTACAGAGGAGAATAGTTTGAAACGGTATGTAAAGAACAGTGTGGAACCACTTTTACAACAAGTTGCAAAGACAGGTGTGATTGAAACGGAAAGATGCGAAACAAAAGAAAATTTTAAGAAGAAAGCAGTAGAGGAGCTAGAGAAAGCCTGGATTGACAAGAAAATGTATGGACAATATAACAGAGATTTAGGTAAAGAAGTGGATAGGGAGAAGACATGGTGGTGACTGAAGAAAGGAGACTTCAAACCTGAGACTGAAGCACTTCTGTGTGCTGCACAAGAACAAGCTCTAAGGACAAATTATGTAAAGTTTCCCATAGATAGAACTGTTGAGTCTCCATTCTGTAGAGTCTGTGGGGAAAATGGAGAGCATATAACACACTTGATAAGTGAATGCAAGAAGCTAGCACAAAAAGAATACAAACGAAGACGTAACAATGTGGCTCGCATTGTACACTGGAAGCTATGTGGTTTGTACCAACTAGAGAAAGCTGAAAATGGTATGAACACCAACCAAACGGAGTAATTGAATCAGATAATGTAAAGATTCTCTGAGATTTTCGCATACAGTGCGATCATGTGATTGAATGTCGAAGACCTGATATTGTAGTGGTTTTAAAGAAGGAAAAAGAATGCAAGATCATCGACATCGCAGTTCCAGGAGACTGTAAAATTGGTATAAAAGAAACAGAGAAGGTAGAAAAGTATGAGGAGTTGAAAAGGGAAATTCGGAAAATATGAGCAATGAAAAAAGAAGAAGTCATTCCAATAATATAGCTAGGCAGGATCCCATTATTTGCTGCAGGAATCCAACCTGCCAAGACGAGATATTCTCATATATAAGTACTCTATCATCCCTGCCAGGTGGGGTGTATTCCATCTATATAAACATGCCATCCTGTTTTATATAAATACACCACCTTAACCAAGTTTATCAGGAAGGCTGGATTAAAATCCCCAATCCACTGATATTCCGTTATCGCATTATCAGGCACATATATAAGTTAAACTCCTTCAAGCTCATCAGGTTTATACTTTTTATGATATTGTGGGCAGCACTAACCTTTAAGACGTAATGGGCCCTGATTCACTGTATTTTACTAGTTTACTTGTCAAGGGGAGGAAGCTGCCACTCAATGGCTTTAAATATTTTGCAATTCCAGGGGAGGGGGTGATTAAAAGAACAGGTAAATTCAACCATGTCAACATAGCATGCTAACCAAGGCTCTGGTATAGCACTGAACTGATAATTTTAGTCAATTCTATATATTGGGTTAACAACTTTATGATTCAGATAGATAACATTGTGATTTCTTCAACTTCAATACTCTGAAAAATTTCATGTTTTGGCTTTAAGGCTTGTAGCAATCAGCAATTATAAAACAATGACTACATACTTAATAATATGTGGTTTCAAACATGCTTTCGAATCTGTCAAACAAGTGCAACCCAGTATTTACTATAATGTGTTTATTCAAAATTTGAATTGTTGATTTTAACTAATATTTGACGGCATTGAAATGAAATAATCTCAATGTAAAACGTGCGAATTGTCGCGCGCGCAAATTCAAATTTTAGCAACCACAACCTTATCTATTCTGTGACCACAACAGCCGAGATAAATGAGATATTAATATGGTCGATGGACGTTATAATTATATGATATAAACAGTAATATTTCATATCTGAGATCAAATAAGCCTTTGGCCGTATTCAGAGTCACTTATCCAAAACAACATTTGATAAAAACCCACGACTTTCTTGAGACTTGAGCGAAATATATTCAAACCGGATAAAGACGATAATTTGCAAATCACACTTGACATGTGATCAAAGAGTAAAGATATGAAGAGAGTCCACTCGGTGAAAAATGCAGTGTTTAGGACGTTACATGGATTTGCGAGGCTGACGCCATTTACACGCTAACAAAAGCAAATTAAATATTCCAAAAAAAATTTGATATGCCAGCAGCTAGTACCGTCGCTGCGTTTTCAGTCAAAACTATAGGGAAAACGCAGTTCGAAATGCAGAAAGTGGCATTTGTAAGGAAAAGACGCTTTCGAGCTTCATATCTGGACAAAATTTTTCAACAATAACAGTAAGTGATCTTCTCTATTCACATAAGAAGTATAGACACACGTACTAGACTCAAAGTACAAACGTGGCCTATAAATGAGACAAGCTTGTATTATTTCAATGTATGTTTACGACGATCTTTTGATGGATTTTTCGTATATGTTTTCGGGCAAAAATTGAATTTGACCCGACACCAGAGCGACGTATAATTCCCAGGGTCTTTACATTCACTCCTACATATAATTTTGTCATCCATGTAAAGCTAGTAATACTGAATTAATGTGAAAACAAATTGTGCATTCCCATGATGCATTGCGCGCTCATAGTTTAACGTTTTTTGAATTAGCTGTATATGATAGACATAAGGGATAGTCTATATGGCGCTGGTCGCAGCAATGTTTCAACACTTGCCTAATACAGGCGCAATAAGAGTTAAGAATATCTGCGGACATTGATAGTGTTTAGAATATGATTATTACACCTCAATTAAGTCACTGTTAATAATCAGACCAAGAATTCTAGCGTGGGTGACAACTTCAAGTTGACTACCGCAGACTACGACACTCTCATGAGCGAAGCGTGATCAGATCTTGTAAAAGTTCTTTACATTTGGAGTCATGATGGAGTTGTAGCTTGTTTGTGATAGACCAATTTTGTACGACGTCGACGTAGTTTTGTATTGTGCTTGTGTTGCCTTTTGCTTATACAACTTCGGAAATTGTGGTGTCGTCGATGTATTTTCAACAATCGCCCTCTGGAGTTCTTAGATCATTAATCATAAGAATGAAGAGCCAAGGGCCAAGGTACACCAGAGGGTACGCCGCCCAACTCCGAAAAACAGTCATTCGACAGTTTTACCCGTTGAAGTCTGTTTGATAAAAAGTCTGAAATCCACTTCTTTACAAAAGATGGAACAGATAGTTGGATTACTTTTCTGGCCAAAATGAGGTGGTCAACAAGATTGAAAGCTTTATGGTAATCAATTAGTACAGTTCTAACAACATTTCCAGTTCCATTAGTAGCCTCCGACCACTTGTCCACTATCGAGATTAGCGCGTGAGTTGCCGATCAGCTATAGATAAGATAGCTGGGGCGACGTATTTCTCCACTATGAAATTCTCGGCCAATTTAGATACTGCTGAAGTAAATGAAATTGGCCAAAGATGTTTATTAATTTCGCGCACAGGTTTTTCTTTGGGGATAGGAGTGATGTTAATTTGCTCTTTTCTGGGCAATAGGAAGTTTTTCTTCCTGGTAAGACGTAATCAACAAGTTGGATATCGGGGATGCTAGAAACCCTCCATAAGTTTTTAAAAATCCAGTTTGGAATACCATCAGGTCCTGTTGCTGTGTACCCGAGGATTTAAACCAAAGTAAAATCCATCTAAATAAAGTGGGAACAATCAAGATGGCACGCAATTTTACTGATTTTATTTATAATAGTAAATATTAGGACAACGCCGTGTGGGAGCCTGTGGCTAATACTGAAATACAGCCAAATATAGATTACCAATCGTCGATAACCTTGGGTGAGACAAACGAATCAAATTATCCAAATATCTCATTATATAATTTAGAAAAAATACCATTTAATCGGGGCATGTCTATGGCATGTTTGAATATAAATAGTTTATTTGCCCATATAGATGAAGTATGAGTATTTATGAGTAACAATAAAGCAGACATATTATGTATTAATGAGACCAAACTTGATTCATCAATTAATGACAATGAAGTCCATATACTAAATTTTGAAATCATTCGAAGAGATCGACGTACAAATGGCCGTCACGGTGGCGGCATTTGTATTTAAATATAATATCAATTACAAAATAATATAATATCATAATATCAATTACAAAATACGACATGATCTACAATCTCAAACTCTCGAAAATCTAGTTGTACTAGAAATTAAGAAACCACGATCTAAGTCTATCTCAGTTAGTACATGGTATAGACCTCCTGACTTACGTACTAGTTACTTTGTCGAATTCGAGGAAATGATTGCATCGTTCGATGCTGAAAATTTAGAGTATTTTCTGCTTGGTGATTTAAATGCTGATTTTACCGGCAACGACCGAGTCACCAAGCAAGAATAAAACCGGTAAAAGAAATACTTGATAAATAAATAAATAAATAAATGGTTTATTCACATATCTTGGCATTAATACAATGAATTATGATATGTTTACATAAATTCAATAAATTATGTAAAATATTAAAATCTATATATAATAACTAACTAAAATATATATAACATACAACTAATTAAACTATCATTGAAGTTTATTCCTTAACTCAAAGCACATTGCTGGAATAAAACTATTTTTGTATCTATTAGTACGACACTTTGGCAGAGACAAACAGTCCTTATTACGCAAAGTCCGTCCGTGCGCGGCCACCCGTGTTGGTGGCAGAAGGTGGTTCAGTCGGTTGTTGGGTTTAGCAATCTTCTCAAAGGTTTTCGTACACAAATCGTGTCTCCTAGTGTCTAAGCGAGGGATTTGGGCTATTTGGAGTGCGTCGATATAATGCAGACCTGGGTATAATACACGCAAGGCACGCTTCTGAACATGTTCAATCTTGTTTGAAAGATAATTGGGGAGGCTCGTATGCCAAACTGTGCATGCGTACTCCAGGACTGAACGTACCAAGGCAAAGAAAACTGGCAGCAGGTCAGCCGATGAAACGCCACTTCTTCGCAATATGCGCAAAATGTACAGGCGCTTAGAAGCTTTCTTCACGAGAATGTTGACATTATCATTCCACTTCAGATGGTCATTAAAGGTGACACCAAGTACTTTAAATGATGATACGATACTGACTGGATTCCCGTTTATATGCAGGGAGACAATGTTTGGACTTTGTCTTAAAAAGCTGATCACCATTTCTTTGCATTTCTTAACATTCAAACGCATGTCATTCTGCTCTGTCCATTGTTGTATTTCATCTAGGTCAGATTGTAATGTCGATTGGTCACGTATAGATAGATTTACGAGATCTGCATCTATTAATGCATCTATACCGGAATACCGCAATATTCCCGTATGAATGGAAGGAAAGCAGAGTAACGCCATTATTTAAGAGTGGCACAAAAAATAACCCAGGCAACTATCGGCCTATATCAATTATTCCATGTGTTGCTAAAATTTTTTAAAAAATCGTTTTCGATCAACTACATGGGTATCTTGATTCAAAAAATTTGTTGAACACAAGCCAATCTGGATTTCGACCGTTTCATAGTACCGCTAGAAGCCACGAGCGACTGGTCCATGAATATTGACAATGGCCTAATTAACGGAGTTGTATTTATTGATTTAAAGAAAGCTTTTGATACGATCGATCATCAAATTATCCTGCAGAAGCTTAAAAATTATGGTATTGACGAAAACTATCTTACCTGGTTTCATCCATATCTCACTGATAGAACTCAAAAGTGCAGGGTAAATTGTCAACTGTCAGATTTTGTGCTAGTGGCCTGCGGTGTCCCTCAAGGTAGCAGTCTGGGGCCATTGCTATTCCTCATCTACATTAATGATTTACCGAACTGTCTTAATCATATACAACTGCAAGAATGTTCGCAGATGATACAAGTATTAGTTATGCGTCCGACTCAG